TGAACTCTTCCAACCAAAGAATTGCTATATACAACAGTTATTGCATTGCTGTTGGTATTAGACCTCGGAAGTTTGGATTGTATATGGATGTTAGGTGGAACTCCACATACCTAATGCTTAAGCACTTGTTGCCTCACAAGAATACTTTTAGTACTTTTATTGAGTCTCATTACCCTAGAGCTAGAGGTGCTCCTGTCCTTTTGACTGATGAACACTGGACTATGGCAACTAAAATACTAGCATTTCTTGAACTGTTTTATGACTCAACTGTTGCATTGTCTGGTGTGTATTATCCTACTGCTCCACTTATGGTTCATCATATTGTTAGGATTGTTGTACACCTGCATAGGTATCAAAAATGGTGAACATATTAGACCTGTGATCCAACCTATGATTGACAAATACAATAAATACTGGAAGTGCATACCTGATCTTTATTCTATTGCATTCATCTTGGATCCAAGAGCTAAAATGAAAGGCTTCACCAAAGTGCTTAGGAAGTTAAGTTCTATTAGTGATACAGAATATGGTAATAAGTTGATGGACCCTAGAACTCTACTTTTTAAACTGTATAATAAGTATGATGCAATATATGGCTCTGTTAGGTTGAAAAGAGCTGTCCCTCCAACCCTATTTGGTAAGAAAAGAATAGGATGGGATGAAATTTATGATGATGATGATGATGTTGGAGCTAGCTGTTCTACCCTCCCTCCTAATCTTGATCTGTCTAGGAATGTTCCTGCCACTGCCTTGCTATAGGCAGCAAACTGTGCTTCTGCCTCTAATGCTGGTGGTGGCTCTAAACTAGCAGCCTACCTGGACTGTGACACAGTCACCCAGTTAGATGATGAGTTTAACATCATGAACTGGTGGCATCAGCACAAACTAACTTATCCAGTTCTTTCAGTACTTGCTAAAGACATTTTAACTATGCCTGTTTCAACCATTTCTTTAGAATCTATCTTTAGCACAACGGGCAGGATCATCAAGGAGCGACGGCGGAGATTGAACCCTGAAATTGTGGACGCACTCACTTGCATCAAGGACTGGGAGGCTGTTGAATCAAGGCTGCAGCACATGGTGGAGGATAAGGAGCTTGAAGAGGCCTACGAAGCACTCTATCTTGATAACTGACCCCATTTATGTAATGGTTCTGTAATAACTATTAAGACTCTGGACATATGGTTGTTGCTGTAATGAACAATGAAACTTGAAGCTGGCTGCACTCTTTTTTCCTGTCTAGGGTTTCTCACAAGGGTGAGTCTTACTTAGACATGTTTTTAATGAGGCAGTCACTGCACAACTCCTAATAAATTTGCTATTTTGTTATATGTGACTGTTAAATTTGCAATTTGAAGCTCATATTTGAGTTCTATATGTCATTTTGAGTATACAGAGGTGTTTGACACCTGTAGTGTCCGTGTCGACACTAGCACAGTGGGCTGCCGTGCCCATTGACACAGCATGGCACGCTCCAGTGCCATAGTGCCGTGCCTGGACTCAACCTGGGTACAGTGCCGTGCCGTGCCTAGCCGTGCTAGTGCCGTGCCATGTGTGGGCGGCCCATTTGGACATTTATACTTGTAGGCGAGTTCGGCGCACTTGTGCCCTTCCCAGTAGGGCAGCCAGATCCCCTTCTGCAGCCCACCCCACGCCTTACGCCGACGAGGCTGCCGCAGAGACATTAGGGAGACCGTATCTGCCGCCTGCTGCTCACCTCGTGCCTTGACCCCTTGACGCTGCCACACTCGTCCGCCACCTGGCCATTAGAGCCGCTAGGGAGGCCGGATCCGCTGTCTGCCACCCACCTTGCACCAAGTGCCGGCGAGGCTACCTGCCCATCAACAGAGATGTCATGCCCGCTCCTGTCCGTCATCGAAGATTCTTTGCCATGTGAGGGAGATGTAGAGATAGTCTGTGGAGGGGAGACGAGTGAGAGATTGTGTGACAGGGAGAGAAAAGAATAAGGTGTGGTTGGCACATCTGCTGGTTTGAGTTAACGACATTGAAATAAAATTTCGGGTCTAAGATCCATGCATAGATCACCGTCGAGTTATATTACCATCCGACTATCACTTTCAATTTAAGTTTATCTGGCAGTAATATTCCGCCGGTGCCTACGTGTTATGGTACCGTGAAACAGGGCTAGTAGCAGTAGCAGAGCCCTTATTATTCTCCCTTCACATGTTATTAGGAACTTAGGTGCTGTTGGGTTCCGAGCAGTAACGTAAATGGAAACAAGTTGTGCCGCTACCTGTTGCGGGCAACGGTTGTTTGGTGGGTTTTAAGATATCCTTTGTCCATTCCCGCTGCTCTCGGTCGTAAGCAGTTAAGGCCTGGAGGTGGGCGGTAACGACGTTTCACGTATCCGGATTCGATTCCTCCATGAACGGCTCCACTGCTGCTGAAACAAACACGTAGCAACGGGAACTAATAGCAGCGCAAATAGTTATGGGGTGGAAAACGTTGAAAAAAACAGCGCCTTAGGACTTAAGACACCAATGAATTTGCCATCAATTGCGATTTTGATCTATCACCGGTCCCGCTCCACTGAATTTCTACAAGGGCGATGCCTCTGCTGCAGTTTAAGTATTAGTGCTTGAATATCAATCAGTTCTTGTCTAATAGTTGACGAAATTAATTATTTAAAACGAATATGATATGAATTTTTTAGTAATGTATAGTAGGGTAAAGACTTCCTGTTGGCCGGGCGTACGTTTGTCGCTCCGCACGGCCTGCTGCATCCATCGCTACCAGCCTGCCTACAGCCCACCGCTGAGACGGAGCCAGATTGGGTGACTTTACAGAGCAACGTTACGTTGTAACTTTCCTGCGATCTCCACCGTCCAGCTACCATCTGGCGGCTACAGTGTTTTTCCATGTGAGGGAGATGTAGAGATAGTCTGTGGAGGGGAGCAAGTGTGGAGCTTCAAAAATGCAATGTTATTGACAGTTTGGGAAGTTTTACCTAGCTGATAACAGCCCCAACTTATGATGATGGTATTCTTAAAGATCATGATCTGTTCTAGCATGAACATGTTGGTTAGATAGTATTTTGTATATGTCTAACTATAGTCTTTTGTGGTCAAATTGTAGAAGTGAAATGGCCCAACTATAGTCTTTTGTGGTCTTGTTATAGTCTTTTGTGGCCTACTTTACAGATGAATGTGACATGTATTTGTGCACTGAACCTCGAACTCCCAAACTAGAAAATGCTAAGTTCTACTGATGATTATAATATAGATGTCCCTTGTATTTATCTGTTTTGCACTCTTGAGAGTGCCTGCTGTTGTGTATTTTGCTTGAATCTGCAAAGTGTTGGAAGCCTTTGCTGGAAACGCTGAGGTTTATTGGATCTTGTGAACTGCTTATAACCAGGGAGGGAGGGAGCAGGGACCTGCAGTTGGTTTCAGAAACAGAGAGAGAGAGAGGTTGCGGCTGACCTGGCTGCCTGCAATTTTGGCGGGGAATGGAGGTGAGCTGTAGCACCTGTGATGTTGATCTAATAGATAGATAGAGTGAGAAGACTTAAGCGTAAAAAAAAATGCCGACGGGTGGAGGGCTTAAGCGTAAAAAAATCTCACCTCTTACCCCATCCATTAGATCAGTATCTAGTGGTCTTGATTGGTAGTTTTTAAGTTTGTACAAGTTGATTGGTTTGTACATGATACATTGCCGAAAAGCAGAGTCCTGGCTGTACTCTGTTGGATGCTAGCTGGACGATTGAGATTGAGGAAAAGTTAGGTTGTAACTTTGCTCTGTAAGGTCAACGAGGCCTTATTTAGATCAGGGTGTAAAGTAATAGATGTCACCATGGATATTATATGAGGTGTCGTATGGGGTGTTCGGATACTAATAAAAAAAAATTACAGAATCCGTCACTAAACCATGAGCCGAATTTATTAAGTCTAATTAATCCGTCGTTAGCACATGTATTACTGTAGCATTATGGACTCGTTCGTTGGGCTGAATTTGGCTGAAAAACACTATTCCGGCTGAATTGTTGTGAGAGAAAAACATGGTTCCGACTGAAAAAATAAGCTGAATAGTGCCAAGCCGATTTTAAGGTCAAGCGAACAGGGCCTATATTGTCAAATTATTGACTAATTAGCTTTAAAAGATTCGTCCAAGCGAACAGGGTCTATATTGTCAAATTATGGACTAATTAGCTTTAAAAGATTCGTCTCGTAAAATAATCGTAATCTATATAATTAGTTATTTTTTAATATATATTTAATACTGTACCAATGTGTCAATAAAGGTCTCGTTTGGCACGGCTCCACTTCACCCATGAAGCTCTTTTTTGGGGCTTTAGCTCCATGAACAGCTCTATAGGTGGAGCTGTAGCCGTTTTGATAAATCATTTGGCAAAACAGTTTCACATATAATTTTTCTTAAAATATGCTCTCAGAGAACGCCATGTAGAATGAAGTGAAGCCGAGAGAAGCCACTATTTTTGACTTCTTCCTACCCCAAAGCTATATGAGAACACGTTTTTAGAGGCTTCATCGATGAAGCCGTTTTATTTTACCTCATTTGATATAAAAACGGCTCCGAACGACCCTGAAACCGCCACATAAGGCTGCCAAACGGGGCCGAAATATATGGTATAAAGTTTCGGCGGAGAATCTTAACGCTGAATCTGGCTCCGGCTGAGACACCCAAAACTTATCCGTACTTCCTCCCCGACCCCGACGAACTCGCTGCCGCCTGCGCTCCGCGTGGTTATCCGCCCCGCCGTGTTTCCCTGACTACGGCCCACGCCGACCGCCACGCGGCCATGGAGCCCGCGGCCCTCCACCTCCTCACCATCCTCTGCCTTGGCTCGCGAATCCGCCGCGCCTCCCTGATCTCGTCTCCCCGTGAGCCAGCGACCCCTCAGATCTGCCGGCCCCGTACCACCTCCTGCCGCCCTACTGCCAGATCCGGCCTTGGCTCCGCAAAATCCTGCGACATCGAAGATGAGCGGGTCGGGAGAGCGGAGGTAGGTCGCAGGAGTCATGGGACCAGGCCCGCTCCGACAGACGCTGCAGCGGTGGCTCCCGGCACTCCTCCGCCGCGCGGCGCCTGACGGCAGCGTGGCGTGGCCCTTCGCCTCGTCCACCATCCTCTTCGACGACATGAAGGAGCAGGTGCGTCATGCGCTCGCCCCCTTCATCCCTCGCTCTCTTCACTTTTCCACTCGGCGGGTCCGCCGCCATTGCGCCTCGCTCCTTGCCTGATGGACCAAATTCCTCTCCCGTCCTCCCTTGTTCCCACCGCCAGTTCAAGGAGACCGTGCTCAAGTTCACGCAGGAGGCCATCGCGCCGCACGCCGCAGCCATCGACGCCTCCATCTGCGCCGTCGGCCTCTCCTACGACACGCACTCCAACCTCTGCATCAACCAGCTCGTAAGTCGTAGCCGCTCTGCCGCCCACTCTGGTTGTGGATTTTGCCGTGGCACACACACCGTGTTGACCAAATTGGTTGGTTAGTTACTTGCTACCCATGCGTAATGCTACTTGTGTGTTCTCCGTGCAGGTGCGGCACGGCAACCCGGAGCAGAAGCTCAAGTATCTGCCCAAGGTGCTATGCTTTCCCGGATTCGTTTTACACTATCATGATGTTTCATCAGGACCGTAGTTTTCTTAAAAACATGGATGCTCACTAGTATTTCTACGATGATGGATTATATTCATGTGTTTTTTCCTTCTCTCTGAAGCTAATCAGTGGGGAGCATATCAGGGCACTGGCGATCAGTGAACCCAACTGTCAGTACCATTTCATTCTCGTTGCTGTTCTGTTCTTCTCCAATACTATAAGGTTCCTTCTGACCCATTGTTGAAATGTAATTTTAGCTGACTCTGATGTTGTCAGCATGAAGTGCAAAGGTGAGAAAAATAATTTGGTGTCAATTTGATGTACTAAAATAAGGAAAAATAATTCGTAGATTTCTAAAGTTGCAAATCCATGTTTGTAGTATTTTTGGGAAGCCTAGGGTCAATGTATTTACTGTCAGTTTGATGCTATGCTTTGAAACTTAGTTATGTTGAATCACCAAGATTTTAGGATTTCTCTGTGCATAGAAACTTAGGGTAAGATAGGATCACCATCTTGGATTGATTGAGAGTAGATAAATGATGCACAAGATTAATTGGTGAACAAGTCAAGCAATAGTTCTGTACTGGTCATAATGTCAAAATGATATATGTAAGAAAAGGGGCAGTGGAGGAATTTCTATTGATTTGCAAGTTTGTTTTGTTGTAGATCTGCTTAGTGCTTATTATAAATTGTGTAGTTCAGGATATTTCTAATCTTGATGGTGATAAAACCTCTAGGTGCAAATCTAGTGGGTAAAAAACTTAACTTAGATAAGGGGACTTGCTGATGTACCTCATCAAGCGCAGTCGCGGTCATAGCGCCGCTGACGAGATAGCAGCGACGTGGTGGCGCGGTCCAGTGACGGCGGTGAAGGCCGGTGGAGCTTCCCGTTGCTCACAGCGCTCCCTCTAGATCAGACTAGGGTTAGACTCGGTGGGGAATTGGCGGCTGTTGTGAACCTCGTGTCTCGACCCTCAGCTCCCACCTCTTTTACATAGCGCTGCCCGACAAGGGCCCACCAGCTAGGAGAGCGGCTGGGTGCCCCCGATCAGGGCGCAAGTCAATGGCCCAATTGGCCGTTGGACCAAATTGGTGGAGATCAATCTAACATTCTTCCCTTGATCTCACCTTATGTCTTATACTTAACTTACTTTATTTTTTTTCCATTTCATCACAGATCAGTGCATAGAGCGTGCCTCATCGTCACGGTTAGTTGCCATTAGATTTAACAGTTACAATGCACCTCTCTGTTTTGAAACAGCTTCTCAACTAGGCTCTCGATATCCAGAAATCATAGGCTTTTCCGTAAACCCATGTCGACTATGTGTTCTCTGAACGCACTGGGTGCTTAGCCTTTGGTAAGCGGATCCGCAAGTACTTGCTTGGCACTCATATGCTCAATGCTTTTAAAATGATTCTGGATTTTCTCCTTTACAACATATAACTCAATGTCAATATGTTTGGCAGCACACTTGATCTGTTGTCTTAGGAGTTAACTATTTTAAATGGTTATTGTTGTTGACTACCATTGTTAAATCCGGGTACTAATTCTCTTAACCTCCTTTTGCCTGTTACTTAAGCCTCATGTCAAGCTATACTATGGTATGCATCACTGATGACACCACAATTGTTTCTTTGAAGCTTTTTCACAATAATACTCTAACTACGAGTGTTAGCAACTACTGTGGATTTCACTACACATCTCGTCAAGACTTAACATTTGTACCCTCAACTATTTGATAGTACTTGTTCTTTCTTACTCAGCATGAGGCCTATGATACTTTGTAAAATTGCAAGATATTCTCAACTCCATTTCACTTATCTATATCTGGACTGGACTTCTGCCAAAATATCTCAGATACGTAAACTACGTGAGGGTAAGTTCTTACTTGTACTTGTACACTCATCAAGCTTCCAACAGCTGAAGCATATGGAACCATGTTCATTTGATCGATCTCATATCGGTTCCTGGAATACTTAAAGTTCTCAAATCCATTACCCTTGACTATAGGAGCAGGCGTATGTTTACTCGCATGTATATTTTTTTTCTTTAGAATCTTTTTTAATTATGCCTTTGAAGGGCGGGCCTGGTGCAAGCGGTAGAGTCTTACCGCCTGTGACCGGAAGGTCCTGGGTTTGAGTCGTGGTCGTCTCGCATTGCACATGCAAGGGTAAGGCTTGCCACTGACACCCTTTCCCAGACCCCGCACAGAGCGGGAGCTCTCTGCACTGGGTACGTCCTTTTCTAAGTATGCATTTGCGATAGTCCTAAAACTTAATTTTTTTCTATCTTGGTGAATTTTGGATTTCTAGAACCAACGACGCTTCACCAAGATTAATCACATTGAAACTTGAAGATAACTTTTTCTTCTCCAATGACAGATCAACATCACAACTAGTGAGTAGAATGTCATTTATTCACAGGATGTGGAAAATGAATTTTTCATTCTTGAACTTCGCATAAACGCTATTATCCTTCTCATTTTCTTTTAAAACCCAAACTTTCTTATTGTTTTCATCAACTTCAAATACTACTGTCTATAAACTTACTTTTAACCCATAAATGGATTTCTACAGGCGGCATCACATATGTTCTTTTCTTTCACGATAAAACCTTTTGGGTTGTGCTACGTAAATGTTTTCATACAAATCCCCGTTGAGGAATGCCGTCTTTACATTCATCTGATGTAATTCTAAATCGTAATGTGCCATGAACACCATTATAATTCTAAAAGAATCCTTGCATGAGATTGGAGAGAAAACTCATTGTAATCTATTCATTCCCTTTGCATGAGATCGGAGCCAAAACAGTAGGCTGTAAAAGGGCCTACAACACAAAACGTGACTCCAAAGGGAATGTAGAAAGATATAAAGCACTAACTCATGCATTGACATACTTAAATGATGTGCTCGGATACAAAATAGGGGATGTTCGTTACATGATTATGTCATGGTACATGGTAACCATTAGTAGTGGGGGTTCTCCACTTAGTGAGAATTTGTACTTCATCTCTACCTATTAAGTCTTCAAGTTATGATGTATTCATATATCTTATATCTTGTGAGAAATGCGCTGGCAATAAAATTTCTCTGGTGCATTACAATAATTATTGCCGAGAGGTTGTAGTAGCACTCAATAATTCACTGTAGAGTGTGCACTAATCCAACAATGGTGCCATGAGTATCACCACCAGGTTGAAGCATGAACCACTAGTGGTGTCATAAGTGTCACTACCGGTTAATGCTCTAACCCAGAACTGACACTCATGATAACACTACTGGGTGATGCGTCCACCCGATAGTGATACTCATGAGATCAGTTCCGGCTGATGATTAGAACCGGCAGCGATAGCGTATTATCAGTGTCAGTTCGTGAAACTAGTAGTGATAGGCCATGTCTATCACTGCCGATTATCCTCTGCGCCCAGAAGTAATTTTGGCATTGATGGGGCTCCGACCCGACAGTTTCTGGCGCAGTGAATAAGGGATTCTTGATGCAAAATTGTCTTGTAGCTTCTACAAGTGAGATATTAAAAATGGGGAAAGCCAACTAATATGCCGTCTACTATTTTTAGAGACATGAAAAACTTATTGATATATCAAGCAATTCTTTTAGGAACTATTGAAGATGCTCCAATAACAATAATCTTAATACCTCACACCGAGCCGTTAAGTTAACAAATGTAGATGGATGGACAACAAACTACACAAGGTGGAGAGGATACCATATAATACAGGAGTAGACCCTACGCGTCAACGATCAGATTAGATAGATAGCTCAGATCAAGAAAGTTGACAATGATGTGCTAATTATAGCTAGCTTTGGTCATTTTAGCTAGCTTGTACGTCTAGGCTGTAGCAATATCAACGCCGAACAGCATGACGGCATGGCAATGAACGGCAATCGCATCGGCCACGGCATCTTGTGGTTGTGGCTTCTTCTGCGTCTTCCAGTAGTCTATGTGCATCTGCTTGTACGCCCCAAACGCGGACCGGGAGAATGCCACTGTGTCCCCAGCTTGGAGGCCCTTCTCCCGAATGAATCGTCTCCATCCCTTGGTGATGACGTACATCCGGCTGGTCGCGCAGAACGAGTACCTGAACCGCCACGTCTTCTCGGAGCCGTCCACCAAGTCGATGAGCATGCCAATACCGTTGGCCATCATGGGGTTGCGGTTCAGAAACAAGTGCTTCTCGGCGTGCTGCTTCGGCACGACGAGGCGGTTGAGCTTGCCAACGTCGCTGGGCGTCAGCGCCTTCTGGAAAAGAGGTTCTCGCGCCCGCGTCGCCGGCTGCGCACGCGCTGCCCGCCACAGGCTCGGCCTCACCTCGTCGGCAGATGTCTGCATGCGCAACGTGGTCTTCACGGTCACTGACTTGGAGGTCGTCGCCTGGAACGCAAGCTCTCCGTCGTCCGTCGCGCACTCCTCTGAGAAGTTGGTGACGCCTTGGCAGCGGCGCGCAGCCACGTCGTCGTAGCCGCACACCGCGGTTTCTTCGTCAGGGAACGTGCCCATCCACTTCCGTGTGGGCCGTTCGTAGGTTTGGGCGCCGCACCAGCGCCCGTTCGAAGGCTGCGGCGTGACGCCATTGATGAACCGAGACGGTGGAAGCTGTTGCTCCGCCACCTTGAAGTCGGCACAGTCTATGGCCGCGAAGGCCATTTTGGTGCTGGACTCTATCATCGCAGCAGTATACGTCGCGGCGGCGGATAGCCTCGAGAAGGACATGGTGGCTGAGTATTCTCCACTTTGTCCTGCTACTATTTCGCTAGGTACAGCTAGCTACTCGAGGTCATTGGTGGACGGGTACATATATATTTATAGAGTGTGCGTGTGTGTCTGGTCCATCCGGTTAATTTAGAACCTCTACATATGTTTCGTCGCGTTTATTGTTACCAAATACCAACACCATCTGTTTCTTCATTCAGTTTTTATTACTTCATCGTGCCGTCATTTATGCTCACCAGTACACAGAATTCCAGACATATTTCTACCAGCGTTTCAAGCTTTCGTTAGTGTGAAAGGTCAGCGTAAATCGTGCACTTCATGGGAGTCTTCTTGAGATCCGCCAGTGTAAATCTGTCGGTTCTAGACCTATTTCTACTGGCGTTTCAGGCTTCCGCTAGTGTGAAAGGCATGCGAAAATCGTGAACTTCATAGGCGTTCTTGAGACCCGCTAGAGTAAATCTATTTACACTGGCGATTTGCTTAAGGCAACCGCCAGTGTAAAATAGATTTACCC